CAAAAATGGAATGCTATTCCCCAGGCCTCCATGTGCAATCTGGTTCAATCAATCCATGACACAACCCGGACGTGAATGCCTAACAAACAATGGGAACACCCACGACTAACAATTTTACAGTTACGGTCATTGGTCATTGCAAAGGTCTTAATGTCTGTTTCAACATTCGTAAGCTATTAGGGAAAGAGAAAGAGAGGAAGGCAGAGAAGGAGATGGGAGGACAACATTACAGAGTGGACAGGAAAGACGATGGGTGACAATCTGAGAAAAGCAGAAGACAAAAATAGATGTCGAGAGCTGGTTTTCAGATGCAGTGATGCCCCTACGGTTGCCCTAACCACGGGATAGAAGAAGAAGAAGCTATTTAAGAGGCAGGACCTCCAAATTTAAAGTTCATCTCAGATGGGGCCAAGACAAATGGTTTACGAACCTTTAAATCACCCCACAGCACAAGTTCAACATGCCCCCTCAGCACAGGGGTTTAAACGGGAGCCATCTTCTCTATTTCTCTGGGAATCCAGCGTGATACCCACTAAGGTAACAGTGCGCCCCTTTTAAAATAAGATTCTCTCCTATTAGGAGTATTTTTATGAGGGTGGCAAGTGAAACATCCTCAAATTTCCCTTCTGTTGAATTAGAGCAAACAGAGAAATTGATATTGCTCTTATAATTTTCAGTCTACGGAGTTGTCAAGTTTTACATTCTCCACTTTTGTATGTGGTTCTTCCTTACACATGAATCTTTGCAATATGAACAAGCATTTCAAGAAAGCAAACATGTAAGATTGTTAAACGTCAAAAATAACATTCACATATAAAAAGTTGCCCTTAAAATAATCATACAGAAAGACACAGACAGACAGAGAGACAGACAGACCGACCGACAGACAGACAGACAGAGAGACAGACAGACAGACAGAGAAAGAGAGAGACAGACAGACAGACAGACAGACAGACAGACAGACAGACAGACAGACAGACAGACAGACTGACAGATAGACTGAGAGAGAGAGAGAGAGAGAGAGAGAGAGAGAGAGAGAGAGAGAGAGAGAGAGAGATTGGTGTTGACTATGTAAATATCTATCTCCACAGCAACAGATTTCTTAACAAGCATCTAAGATTTTACAAACTGGAAATTACTTCAATTTCAATGCAGTTCAGAGATCACCTTGCTATTTGCTTTGTCCTGTAGGCTGACTGAAAGACAAAGAACTGCATTTCAAATTGAGCTTTGGTCCATAAAAGAAGAAAATAGGTAAAGTCCAAGAGCAAAAATGTTCCTGTTTTTCAAAGGAAATTTCCAAGCAAGAAAAACAACAACAAACTTCATAAACAATTTTTTAAACTTTTATAACCACTTGCTCGACTAAGACAAGGAAGCAGTTTGTTCAAGCTGGAAAAAAAAGCAGCAAAGTGCACACTGGTAATGAAGTCCAAGGAATATTGAGAGTAAAAACAGGTGACCATGATGAATGAAAATGAAAAATGAAAAAATGACTACTGACGCCCTTCAGCAAACTGCTCTGACAACTAGCTGATTTTATTTGCTGAATTAAAAACAAATTATGGAAAAACCAAGACACATTCCCACATAGCTGCATAGTCTGAGACAACTGCAAACAACAGAAAAATAAACCTTATTTGAAAAAAAAAGGAGAAAACACAATCCACGTTGACCTCAAAGGAGATAATGTCATTACACCAATTGTATGCATATATCACAGCGGCAGAGCAGACATTTTAAAAAATACCAACGATACAAGCTCCATTTTAAACCCCCTTCAATACAAGAAAGTCATTTCAAAGTGCGCAAGCTGAGTGCTATCTTGTCCTTACTCCAATTCCCGACTCATGGGAAGTTACTGTCACAGCTGTCAAGTTTGTTGAAAAACATTCCATTCCACCTCAAAATCACAACTGCTAATTCCTGCATTCCCCAAAAATTCAGTTCCATTCCAAGCACACTCACGTTTTCGTAACTTGAAACCAGCAGTTTCAAACCAAGTTACTTCATAACTGGAAAAATTAAAGTTGGAGCAAGACAGCAGTAAAGCTTGGGAATAGCCTCCCCCACTCCTTGGCACAACATCTCATTGTACACAGCAGAGGCACTAACACAACTGATAGAAATTTTAAAAAAGAGGGAAGGGGGAGGGGAGAGGTAGAGAGAAAAATTGAGAGGGAGAGAGAAAGATTGAGAGAGACACAGAGAGAGAGAGAGAGAGAGAGAGAGAGAGAGAGAGAGAGAGAGAGAGAGAAAGACTAGATAAGATTCAACCATGTGGGAGTCTGAATCAGAGAAAAGCATACTTGTGTCATGTTGACCTGCTGTTGCAGAGAAAATAGACAAAAGAAAGAATATAATAGACAAAATATTTAAAATTCTTAATATTATTCAAAAGATTAAAGTAAACAGGTATTAATAAAGAAACCTCCTCTCCCAAATCAACCCTCCTCTCCCAAATCAACCCCCCCCCCCCCCCTTTTTTTTTCAAGGAAAAAAAGGATCATGGGTAATTCACATTGTCTTTTTTATCCAGCTCACGTGTTTTACAACCAGATTTCATAAGACTTCACTAATTTTCTCTTTCTTACATACAAACACAATGATTTTCCCCTTCTTGCACACCTGCAGGTAGCCTATCACTTTAATCTTTGTAAATTTCATTTCATTGTAACACTATTAAACAATTCCAAGCCCAGCACTTCTTGAACAGGGGAGAAGAATTTCAAACCTAAATAAAAGACACAAAAAACCCAGAGAAATAACTAAAAGGGTAAATTGAGCACGAGAAGAAAATACTGGAATGTTCACAGAGTATCTATATCTAGAGACAACCAAAGTTCACATGACAGTTATCTTGATCTGACCATTCAGAAATACAAAGAAACTTTCAGAACACTTTCACTCTCACCACTCCTTTGATGGAATGAGAATATTCTCTTTTTCTTCCCTCCTCATCTCTCTCTCTCTTCCTCTCTGCTCTCTCTCTCCCTCGCTCTCTCTCTCACCTTCTCAACAATAACTTTGTCTTTGTCATGCATATTAGTCCCTTTCTCTTGATTCTATTTGTCAGTTCATCTGTATATATTTCTCTCTCTCTCTCTCTCTCTCTCTCTCTCTCTCTCTCTCTCTCTCTCTCTCTCTCTCTCTCTCTCTCTCTCTCTCTCGCCAGCCGGAGAGCTTGGGTCCCTATCTACAAAAGATGAAAAGTCAAGGTGGGGATGGATGAAACACAGGCATTCATATTCTTTACCAGTGGGTAAAATGAAAATATTCGAAATTATGAGTAAACAGACTCTTTGCACAATACACAAAGAAACAGAAATAAAACTAATATGACACACATGTGTTCCTCCTTCTTTGCAAGTGGGCAAAATAAAACTATACAAACTGCATACATCCATTCTACATGACAAGTTATGTGGAAGTACCCTAATTAATATCTCTTACATAAAGTATGATAAAGCAATCCTTTGTGTTTCAGCACTGCAGTCAGACATACCCAATACCTCAACATAAGGCACTGTTAGCATAGATGTTATACACGAAAGAAAAAGTAAAGGAGGCAAAGCATTACATGACATAAAGCATTAATTATTTTCCCATACAGGGGGACAACGCATAAACATTTATGCTAATAAACCATAGACACATGTACTTATATACACAAACACACACAAATGTTTGCAAACTAGCTGCAGTTCCACTCACACTTTTACAAGGGCGTAAACAAGCAGAGCAGATTCTTTCTGACAAGCCCTTTACAGTAAATCCTGCAATTTATTTGCTTGAAACATCTCCCTCCCTCCCTCCCTCCCTCCCTCCCTCCCTCTCTCTCTCTCTCTCTCTCTCTCTCTCTCTCTCTCTCTTTCTCCGCACTCACACACACTGACACACACACACATACACATACATACACACACACACATAAATAAACAACACAAGCACACACATACATATAAAAGAATAGACTGGACTGAGATAAAACAAACTACTGCCGTTCAATCTTTTTGTTTTCTGCCGTTCAATCTTTTTGTTTTCGTGTTATATCATTAAAGGTCAACCATTCAAACTATTATGGTTGTTGCAATGCAAGGCAAAACGTGCCATACAAAGGGAAACTGAATTGTACAACTGTATTGCTATATAGTCCAAAACATCAGATGCCTTCACACAAATTCCACAAATGTGTCAGAAGTGTATACTGTCACTGATGTTTATTTTCAAAACGACATCGCTTTTTAAGAAATTACACACTTATTACAGAAGAACAGGAAAACTGAATATTGCTCAAGTCCCTCTTTCAGAAGCAAAGAGTGCAAATGTCGTGCCTCTCTGTCGCAGGTATTCAAATCCAAAGAAAAGAAAAGATAGGGGTGTCTGCTCCGTGACATGACTGTACAGTCAATCTTTTTCAAAATGTGGAACACAAGTTTTTTTAATGAAGCTATCAAAAAAAGTACACACATTTCATCTGTAAAATCAGAAGGGCCCCAAATATACAAACAAATATACTTCATGTATGGGAGTCTTTGCAATCATACACACAAAAAAAAAGACAAACCCTTGCTCAAAGTAATCCAGACAGAATGAATTGTCCTACCACACAAGCGATAAAAACAATGTAGACAGCTGAGAGAAGTACTAGAGACAAGTTAACAGTGTGTGAGTAAGATTTGATAAGTCACTAAGAGTACCTATCAGTAAAGATTCTTTAATTATACGTATATATCGAAAACATTTTAATCATAAGTCTATCTGCAACCCTGCAGAACTTACAAGTTAAACACTTGGAATGAACTTGCCAACCAAAGGAGTTTCAGGTGAAGTCAGGTGACACTTCCTTGTACAGGGAAGAAAATGACTACAACAAAACATGGATTCTTTACATGCAGAAACACTTTAGCTCTCATTTAGTTTTAGTAGAGGTTTTACGGCGCTCGCAAATTGCACAAAGTCATAGGAGCGCCAGAAGATTAGAGGAGTTACAAGAGAGTAACAAACACGAAAAAGAAGGAGGGGAGATACAGACGATAGATGTTTGATAGGAAAGAAGAAGCAAACCACACCAGAGCACCCGCCAACCACCCACCTTTAGCTCTGAGGGAGGAAGCACATTTCACAACTGGCCAGACAAAGGATCAATCAATTCATACACACCAGTCCCTCTCTGTGACTTCGCACTAAAGTAAACGCACACAAACCTTGCAGACGTTTTGCCAAACATGCCGAGTTATTTGGAAACAATATTAAACAAAACAAAATAAGCCTGTCCTTCCCTTCATCCCCCTTGAGCAGGTAACACCCCACTCTGTCCACCCTGGGTACTCTGCTCTTCGGGCAGTTTGACCGGCAAGTCTACATGTTCTGCCTTTTTCGCAGCCCCACTGCTGTTGCCGTCTCCCTGACTGCTGGACTTCTCCGGAGCAATGTCACCGGCACCCTGAGTGAGCTGTGTCTTCTCCTTATTTCCTTCTGGCTGAACCACCACGCTACCACTTTGATGAGGTCCAGTGCCTGTTGATTTCTTCACATCTGAACTCATATCAGCTTTCTCCTTCGCATCTTTCCCATCAGCCCCTGCCTGCTCGGATTTTGTCAGAAATGAAAGAAGCTTTGACTTCGAGTTTTTGTCCATCAGGGTAGTCTGTTGCTTCCATGAATCTCCCTCAAGGTGACCCGGTAACTGTGGGAGGGTCGTGTTGGCAATGGGGGTCAGAGGGGAAGGGGATGTTTCTGGGGCTGGCACGTAGAAGAAATAAAGCTGGAACAGAAAGAAAAATAAAAAGAATTAACAATGACTAACAGACACAAGCCATTACACATTGAACTTGAAAAGCACAAATGGTGTTCTGTTCGGCAGTCAACCACACAAGAGGAGTGGCCTTCAAATTAATAAGTTCCATCAAGCTTTGAACGCTAAAAAATTTCCAAAAATAAAAAAATCACTTATCTGTGGAGATTTCAGTCTAAATCCCCCACAAGGAGTCAAACTAAAAGAGTGAAAAGCCCCTAAAGTCCAGTGCCAGGCCATTGCCAGAGGCTCTCAACCCTTTTCCACTGAAGGCATACTTGATGGTAAATGTTTTACACCCGCATTGAACCAATAAACATTTGAAAAAGGAAGCAGGCTGCTTTGACCCTGCCTTTGAGGGACAACCCGCACTTTTTGGGATAAAACAGGTAGACGGAGATGCTCAATTAAAAAAAAAAAACCCTCTTCCTCACAAAGGAATCAAGGTCATGTCTTTTGTATGTGATCGTACAGAACAACAGCTGTGGTAGCTAAACAACACAAAATCTGACACAATTCTTAGTAACACCGGCGGTCCTCAGGGGTGTGTTTTGTCACCAGTTTTGTATACTATATATACCAACGATCATAGAAGTATATATAAAACAACACGCTTAATTAAGTTTGCAGATGACTCCGCTATTATTGGATTAATAAACTTTGATGAAAAAGAGTATTTCGAAGAAATATGTAGGTTTTTTTAAAGGTGCAACTCAAATTTTCTAAAAGTGAACCTCTCAAAAACAAAGGTAATGATTTTTTATTTTAGAAGAGAAAAACCAACAATCCCACCACTCGTAATTGAACAACTATTGAAATCACGGATTCATACAAATATCTTGGCCTTACAATAGACAACAAATTTACATGGCAAAACCATGTAAACAATATTGCTAAAAAGGTAAATCAGAGGCTGTACTTTCTGAGGAAACTAAAGTCTTTCAATCTGAATCCATCCATCCTTCAGATTTTCTACACCACCACAATAGAAACTTTGATAAATTTTGGAATCACTTGCTATGGCAGCAATCTGGGAAGGCAGCACATTATAAAACTAAATAAGTTGATAAAAAAGGCATCAAGAACAATTGGTAGAGACCTAAGTAACTTTGAATATCTGCACAAGACAAACGTTCTAAAAAAGGCGGAAATAATGCTTAGTGACCATAGCCTCCAACTGACATCGGAATTTCAACTATCGGCCCGCAGTAAACGATACATTTACAAAAAAGCAAGAACAGACAGATATAGAAATTCATTCGTGCCAACTGCAGTGAGGTTACTGAACACACAGTGCTACAAATGAGAGAGAGAGAGAGAGAGAGAGAGAGAGAGAGAGAGAGAGAGAGAGAGAGAGAGAGAGAGAGAGAGAGAGAGAGAGAGAGAGAGAGAGAGAGAGAGAATGTTTCACGGAGCGGGTTGTCCCAGTCCGTGAGACATGTATTTACTTGGCCTAATGTCCTGTCTTGTTGTGCGTTTGCGTGAGTGCACCTTTAAGTCTAACTTTTGTAACGTCTACTGCCATTGTTAACGACCAAGACAAATTTCTCCCTGCGAGATGAATAAAGATTGTCATTGTCATTGTCATCAGAACTTTATTGCTACTCTACAGACACTAGTGCCACTCTCGAGTCTTTAAAAAATGTTCCAGGGGACCACGATTCCTTGTGAACGTTCAAGAGAAATGCGATGAAAAAGTAAGTATAAAGCTAAACCCCCCTCCCTTACCTTATTTAGGCCACACTGTGGCCCAAATAAGCTAAACCCCCATCCCTTACCTTATTTAGGCCACATCATATGGTAGATTTCTTGAACTAACCATGGATTCGGAAGGTCGAGATTCTACTGATCTTTTTATTTAGTGCGGGGGATTATTTCAAAATAGAGGATGATACTAAATGGAAAGTGGACCAAGGGTAAGAGTTGTGTGTGTCTCTCTCTCTGTGTGTGTGTGTGTGTGTGTGTGTGTGTGTGTGTGTGTGAGTGTGTGTGTACGTGTTTGTTTTGTGTGTGGTTGTGGTGAGAGAGAGATCTACAGAGATAGAGAGTAAATGTAGTAGTGTGTTTGTATGTGTGTAATGTGTGAATGTTATTGTGTGCATGAGTGTCTATCTCAGTTGTACGGTCCAAATGTACATTATTTTGTTGAGAATTTTACATATAACTCAACTACAAAACACCTTTATACAAAGTCACAGAAATATTCTTTTTGTGCTTATTGAGGTGCAGTACAGCGTGATTAAAACCTGCAAGGATAATTGGACAAAATGGGCAATATCTTACTAATGCTAATACTAATGGTCATATTTAGACAAATCCTATATCATTCTCTTTTTTTCTTAACAGCTCATGGTTATTAAAGAGTAAGCAAACTAGATCAAGGTAGTAATTTCGGATTCCTAATTATTATGGGCATTCTTAAAAAATGCGCTTTTTTCAACGTAAAACGGATTCCGTTAAAAAACAACAACAATAATGACCTTATCTTTCTTTTTCAAGGTATTGTGCATACATTTGTGTGAAACTATTTTATTCTATGCTTTCAAGTACATGAAAAAAGCTAATAAAATCAAGCAAAATGTTCTTCAGAGACATAGATCTAGTAGTAGGCCCACTGGAACATTTTATAAACAGTGAAAAGATGACCAGAAAATAACAAAATTATCTTATGATTTTCACCTGCACTTGCAATTTTTTTGACAAATTATCGTCTACCTCGTTATCTTTTTTTCCCCACATTTTTCTTCACTATTCATGACAACTGGCATGTTTTTCAGTTATTATCAAGGAAGTGGATGGGCGGACCACGGGGTCTATCTAGCCCCAAAAGGATAGGTGGACCGCGGGGTCTACCTAACAAAATGCTGTTTTAGGATGTGAACCCTGGAGTCAGCGTAGTGAAATAAGTAGATCTAGGTTTGACTAAGGATCGGTGGACCCCGGGATCAACATAGTGAAATAAGTAGATCTCAGTTTATTTTATAGTAAGACTGGCGGAGCCCGTGGTCAACGTAGTGAAATTATAAGTAGATCTAGGTTTAACAAGGATTGGTGGACCCCTGGGTCAACGTAGTGAAATCAGTGGATCTAGGTTTAATTAAGGTTTGATGGACCCTGGGGTCAACGTAGTGAAATAAGTACATGTAGATCTAGGTTTAATTTTAAGGATTGGTGGACCCAGGAGTCAACGTAGTGAAATAGGAAGGTTTAAGGTGGACCCCAGGGTCTACCTAACGAAATTTAATACTAGTTAGGTTTTAGAATAGGTGGACCATGCGGTCACCGTAGTAAAATAAGTAGGTTTAATCACGGTGTCCCGGGGGTCCACCAATTCTTAATTAAACCTTCTTATTCCTCTACGGCTATGGTGACTCCGGGGTCCACCAATCCTTTAAAAATTAAACCTACTTATTTCACTACGGTGACCCCGGGGTCTACTGATCTTTAAATAAATCTACTTACATGTATTTCACTACGGTGACCCCGGGGTCCACCTGTCCTAAAACCTAGTATTTTGCTAGGTAGACACCGTTTTTAGAAATATCCAGAAAATAACATAAAATGATTATATAGATCTAGATCTATACGTATTTTATTATGTATATATATACTTAAAAATAAAAGACTGAGCAGAGGCTTACAATGTAAATTCTGTGCTCTACACGTAGAGAAAGTCTTAAGTTTGCGCAAAACAGATTTTAGAAAAAAAAGTTGATCTAATTATTCTAATAAAAGTAAAAGTGATTGTTATGGTGAGATTTGTTATTAATTCTAGAAATACAGATAGTTGCTGAATCTAAAATTAACTAGAACTGTGCAATTCGTTTTATTGCAATTCCAAAGCCCAAAGGCATAGCAATGAGTTAGATCTAGATCTAGAAGTTGTAGGCTCTCTGGCTGCTTCTAGCATAGGTCTGCTACTACTGATTCTAGACAGGGAATCTAGATCCAGCTATCACCTGCACTGTTAAAGTCAAATATATGGTAAAATAAAAACAAAACTGTGAATCGCTTTGTCAGTCAGTACATCCCAATTGCCATAGCAGCAGCACGCATTAATAGTTGAATAATTATACCGAAGCAACATGTTATCACAGTGTGCAGGGGAGAGCGGGGTGTCCGGGTCGCTGACCGGTCGATTCGGTAGTTCGGCTTTTGTAGATCTATGCATTTTTTACGGAAAGCCCTATTACTAGATCTATTAGTGTTGTGAAACTTCAACCTCTACAGCTAAGGCGGCAAAAGATGTTGGAAAATAATAATACGTCCTGAAGTTTCATAATGTATACAGAATAATACAGCCAGTAGTTTTTATCTCATCGAGTTATAAAAATGGCCTTGTAACTTGTTTTCAGAAGCAAATTTTAATAGTTACAGTTCTACCGAATCGATTTTCACGCAAATTCAACCATTTTGATGACCATTTCTTTTCCTTTTAAAAAGATATAGGCCTGGCGGATGTGGCAGTGCGATTAACACTAAGTTGTTTAGACCCATCAAAACACGAGGCTTCGTGGCCGATCACAAAGGTCTACGGGGCTTATCGAGGCCGATTCGCCCTGCCGCGTGCACGTTCACTAAACTGCCTACTAGATATAATCTACTACCAAAGATTCTTCTCGATCTTTGCTACTACTACTACTACTACATCTACATGTACTACTACTAGACAGTACGAGAGATGTACTACTACTACTAGACAGTACGAGAGAGTGCCACCCAGGCAAAGATAGTGTAACTTTGACTCAGCCACGTTGTGTACACACTTTTTATACCCCAAATTTGACCCGGAAGTCCATTCGGAGAATTTGACCTTTTTACTTGACCAAAGTGTGCCAAAATGGTAGCCTAGATTTTGCCCCTCCATGAAGGACAAATCTGGCCCTCATTCAAACCATTGAGATTGAGCAAAACTTTGCGTATCGTGCTTTGTTCTTACAATATTCATTATGATATATATACGTTGTACA